AAAATCGGTAAAGTTACTCACTCTATTTGCTGTCCATGTCATCCATCTTTAGTGATCCAATTCGGTAGGTGGCGCTGTTACAAAAGAATAGGGTCCTAGAACTGCGGTCCTGAAACTGCAGCATCCGGTTGTGCAGGAAGCCAGGAACATACTATTGGGTGTACAGTAGCGACACGGTAGAGGCGCTGTGCGGCAGGCATTGTAAGCTGAATGCTTACTGACTACTGTATTCAAAATACTTGCACATGAATGGCAGATAAATAGCGCGTTTTAAATAATTTCTCAGTAGTTTTCTGGGTGTAACGTTATTCGGTTCGTTTTACGCAAAACAACACTGGCTTTTGACGCCCATAGCACGTACAATTGCGTTTGAAACAAAACACTAGCGATTTTTGTAATATGTTTTTAATGCGTAAATACATTAAAAATTGCACGACCGTTTAAGCATATTGTCGGTCAGAGGTTTTTAATATTTTTAAAAGAAATCTCTTATGCTCTTAGGCTGCATATTGATCAAAATGCCTACAGTAGAAACAGTAATAGTGTGACATATTATTACAGTTTAAAATAACTGTTTTCTATTTGAAATATATTTTAAAATGTAATTTATTCTTATGAAGGCAAAGCTGAATTTTCAGCAGCTATTCAGTGATCTTAACATAATCCTTCAAAACGAATACCTGCTGATGTGGTGCTCAAGAAATATTTCTTATTATTATCAATGATGAAAACATTTTTGCTGCTTAATATTTTTATGGAACATTAAAAAAATCTTATTATCAATCCAAACTTTTGACTGGTAGTGTACACTTGTATATAAATAAATTAATAAATAATAAATAAATAAACAGAAAAAAACATAGGCCTACTTTAAAGACTCGCTTTCTCGAAACAATAACAGCATATTGGTACAAAATAACATGAATAAACATTTATTTTATCTATTTTTATTTTATTTGTATTTTTTTATTTATTTTTTTGTGCTCAGCGGAACCATATAGTGATACAGAACAAAATCTCAAGCAGTTCACATACAGTATATGAGTTTGCACCCTTGTATTTTTTTATGCTGAATTATTATCAGACAGAATTTAAAGACGATTCATCATAAAGATAGGCCTACTTAGACTATTTCATTGTAAGCTGACATAACATGCTTATCAGCTTATCAAGTTTTTACGGACTGGCTTTCTGTTTTTGATGAATCACTGGCAAGTGTGATCATTTCATATTATATTACTGCAGCAGATATGCCTCACAAATTGATTTTTGAATGAATGTTCTTTGTCTCTTTGAGATCCATCTGGAGAACAGCTACTAGTTTTATGACTTTGAACAGCAGAATGGCGGCTGTGGTTACAGTATGAACACACTGTTCTGGTCAGAGTTTTGAGGAAGAAGAGTGTGAAATTCTGACTCATGTTCGCCACACTCACACTGAGAGCTGCTGCACACAGGCCTGATGACACACTGCTGTGTTTGGTTACCATAGCAAACATTTTGCAGCAGCTGTTAAGTCATGAAGACCTGTTTTCTTTCTCTAACTTTTCTGATGATTTAACATGAATGGGTGTGTTGTTTAGAGAGAATCAATGGTATAAGTAGATGAATAGTAAATGAATAGTTAGTGAAAAATTAAAATATAAAATAAAAGCTCATTCAAAATATTAAATTCATGTGATTGTATCAGCCTGAATGGTGGAACTGCATATAAATAGACTAAATGGGTGTCGCTAGGCCATTTTTAGAGGGAGTTTTAGCCCCCCCAAAATTTATACTGAAAATTGTGTGTAATGAAGAAAACATTTTGCTACATAATATTTTTGTGGAGAATTAAAAAAAATCTTATTATCATTCCAAACTTTTGACTGGTAGTGTACACTTAAACAAATTAATAAATAAACATTGGTCCTACATTAGATACTTGTTTTCTTAAAGGAATGGTTTTTATTTACACAATGTTTGGTGCTGCACAGAAAAAAAACAAACAATAACACAATACTGGTACGAAATAACAAATAAACAAGGACTTTTTTTTAATGTGCTCAGTGGAACCATATAGGTGATACAGTACAAAATCTCATAACATACAGTATATGAGTTTATTATCTGACAGAATTTAAAGACTTGTCATAAAGACAGGCCTAGGACTATTTCATTGCAAGCTGACATAACATGCTTAACAGCTCGCTTACTAAACTCAACAGCTGAAGTTTTTACGGACTAGCTTTTTGTTTTTGATGAATCGCTGGCAAGTGTGATCATTTCATATTATATTACTGCAGCAGATATGCCTCACAAATTGATTTTTGAATGAATGTTCTTTGTCTCTTTGAGATCCATCTGGAGAACAGCTACTAGTTTTATGACTTTGAACAGCAGAATGGCGGCTGTGGTTACAGTATGAACACACTGTTCTGGTCAGAGTTTTGAGGAAGAAGAGTGTGAAATTCTGACTCATGTTCGCCACACTCACACTGAGAGCTGCTGCACACAGGCCTGATGACACACTGCTGTGTTTGGTTACCATAGCAAACATTTTGCAGCAGCTGTTAAGTCATGAAGACCTGTTTTCTTTCTCTAACTTTTCTGATGATTTAACATGAATGGGTGTGTTGTTTAGAGAGAATCAATGGTATAAGCAGATGAATAGTAAATGAATAGTTAGTGAAAAATTAAAATATAAAATAAAAGCTCATTCAAAATATTAAATTCATGTGATTGTATCAGCCTGAATGGTGGAACTGCATATAAATAGACTAAATGGGTGTCGCTAGGCCATTTTTAGAGGGAGTTTTAGCCCCCCCAAAATTTATACTGAAAATTGTGTGTGTGTGTGTGTGCATGTGTGTGTCTCTGTGTGTGTGTGTGTGTGTGTGTTTGTGATCAGGAAGACTTGTATTTGGCTTGTTCAGTACTCAAATGTTGTACCCATCTAATTTATGCAATACAGTGGAATACTGCAATAGGTTTGGTATAACACTCTAACCTATTAGTCAAACATTATTTTATTTTATTTATTTATTTATTATTTTTTATTATTATACCCTCATTGGGGGCTGAGCCCCCCTAAAATGAAAATCCTAGAATCTCCCCTGACTAAATATAAATATAAAGATTGCTGTCGCTCTATATGTCAGGATTAGACTGTCTTTGTTGTGTTTTGCTCCCCATGAGCTCCCTTTGACCCAGTTTCTCCCTCATGTGCCCTTATTTGGTCGTTCCTGTTCTTGTCCTCGTTGTCTCTTAATTAGTCATTCTGTTCACCTGTGTTCCTCCCAATTCCCTCGTTATCCTGTGTACTTAAGCCCCAGTCTGTTCAGTCTGTGTTTGTCACTTTTCCACGACATTCTAATTTATTGAGATGCACCTGTACTTGTTGGATTACATGTTGTGAACGTGTGTCATCTTCCCTTCCTGGTGTGGATTTACTGTTTGAATTTAATAAAAGACTGTGTTTGCAATTCTACATCTCCATCTATCCTTCCGGCAGCGTTTTGTGACACTATAGAGATGTTATTTATAGGTTTATGAAAACTTTTACAGACATTTTGCATCTTTGTAACATCTTTATATGGAAAAAGCAAAACTGAGTGGAATTATTTTCATTGAGTGAAAAGAAAAATAGTACATGCACATTATTTATGCCCATTTAGTAGAAAAATATTGGTATTATAAAAAAGACAGATTGTATTCACACTGAGCAGAGCAATGGGGGTAAAATCCAAAGGGGGAATCAATGCTTGGCATTTATTGTAGTGATGACATCAATGGCCTTAAACGGTATTTGACTCTTATGGAACATATGTTTCCCGTGAGATCAATATTTCAGCACTACTGTGAATGGGGAAAAAGCAGTAAAACTAAATCTAATTGTAATTATCTAATCTGATGCTGCAGTAGGTCTGCTAAACTAAATGAGGCTGCGCTCACACTGCACAAATGATGTCTTTACAGCAAACTGGATGATATGGACATCAGAGATCACTCCTTTTATCTAATGTCTAATTATGACGAGACCAAGTTAGAGCATATTAATTTAATTAACCCTCTCAACTGTGAAATCAATGACGATGTCCACGGACAAGTTTCTTGCAAGCCAGATATGGCTTTTGAGGGCCTCACTGAAGAAGAAACATTAGGTTGCAGTTCACTCAAGTTGTTAAACCACTGTGGGTTCAAGCCTGATAGGACTATTTTGATAGCTTCAAAATACAGCTTGAGAATTAAATATGCAAAAAAAATGCATTTACGTAAATAGATTAGATAAGGAAACACTCACCATGCAGGTCCTTCATGCAGATGAGTTAGGTACATCATGGAAACATTTTAAATCACTTTTTCAGGCACAGACTTGACATGTTAGCATCCATTAGTAGATGCAAAACATGCATTAAAGTGACTTGCTAGGGGGAAAAACATTTTCATAGTACAAGCAACCCCCCTGACAATGTTCCATATGGTCCATGCAGTTTTCACGTGAATTTGAGAAACAATGTGACAAAAAAAAAGATGAAATTCTGCTTTAATTTCGGTTGGGAATTATCTTAGAAATTGTTTTACAAATTATATTATCAAGAATTATGTTTTTATGTGGGACATGTTAGCATCCATTAGTAGATGCAAAACATGCATTAAAGTGACTTGCTAGGGGGAAAAACATTTTCATAGTACAAGCAACCCCTCTGACAATGTTCCATATGGTCCATGCAGTTTTCACGTGAATTTGAGAAACAATGTGACAAAAAAAAAGATGAAATTCTGTTTTAATTTCGGTTGGGAATTATCTTAGAAATTGTTTTACAAATTATATTACCAAGAATTATGTTTTTATGTGGGCCACTCGTTTAAATATCCTTCGGAGAAATTATATATATATTAAAAAATGCTCAATAGCGGCTGAAAACAGCTAAACATCTTTTTCATAAAGGCATCGCCTATTTGTTTACATTACGTTGCTTCTTGCACGTTTTGCGAAATATTCAACGTGAAATGTCCAGTAAGTGGCACTAAATGTTTTATTCAAAACAGATGAATGGGAATCTGGCAACGTTTTTTTACGTTGGTTGTTGTAAGTATTCCGGCAGTTTGGAACTGAAATGTTCAATAAATGGTGCTAAAAAGGTTTTCAGTTTGCAATGCTGTACCAGGTGAGCTTCTAAGCAAGTTTACTATGTTAGAAAAACCATACATTTGGAGCTGGTTATGTGCTGCAAAAAAGCTGTTTCTGGACTCACTGCTTCACTTATAATATCACAACAACAGGTCAGACAAAGGTTACATACAATTATTAGACAATTTGACAACAACATGCCTCTGTACAGCTCACTAAATTATATGCACAATATCTACTTCGAGGACCTTGATAGAAATGTAGTGGAGTTAAAAGTACAATATTTGTCTTTCAAATGTTAAAGTTAAAGTAATACATTTCCAGAAAAAAGAATACTCAAGTAAAGTACAGATACTCAAAAAGTGTACTTAAGTACAATACTCAAGTAAATGTACTTAGTTACTGGCCGCCTCTGACAATATCCAAGTCAGCCCAGCACATCTAAAACTGATTTAAAACCGTCTCCCAAGGAATTAACGGAACTAAAGGTATGTTTAAAAGAAATTACATGATATAATAGATTAAATTCTGCAGTGCACCAAAGGACCTATTAGCAATTAAAAACATTTTTGAGTGAAACATCTTTGGGTTGGAACAAAAAGTTGATTGTAAATGGCAAATGTGCATGTATTATAAAATGATGAACAACAAGTGACCAAAATAACAGATACAGACACTCCCTGTTTTCCTGGAATTATTTCCACTCCTCATTCCATGCATGGAAACTCCATTTATACAAACAAAGAGATACAAATACTTGACATGTTTCCGTTACGGGTTCTGGTCTTTTTTTTTTCAGAGATGATCAATAATTCAATATGAATTATTAAAAGAAACATTTCAGTAGTTTTTTATATTTATTGAAACTTCCTATTTAAATTCACATTTGTACACTTTATAATATCTGAATATTTTACAGCTAAACAGCTGCGGGATATCAAACAAATTCAGAAGAAGTGTTTGCATATGCACTAGTGTTCTCCAGATGCATTACATATCTAGACACTACATTGCCAGCACACATTATGGTGAAGGCAGTCAGCAGGCTTTATTGACTCTAATGACTTCTCCATGCGCTACGAAGGCTTGCTCATTACACTAATGTGCTTTATGGTGCACAAACTGCATGATATTATGACAACACCAGTGGCCCTATATTTTACAAGCACAAATGAAACACAGGCTCCCACAGCTAAAATCAATTTACATTTAATTAAATAGCCTGTCTTGTGCTTCATAATGAAAAGTGGCACTGTAGTTTTCAAATAGATGCAGCAATGATGCTGTTCTGGTATATGACATTACAAATGGGAACTAATTATAAAAGGAACAAATTGATGTTTTAGTGTCATTGTACCTCATTTGCCCACAGCTAAAATCAATTTACATTTAATTAAATGGCCTGTCTTGTGCTGCATAATGAAAAGTGGCACTGTAGTTTTCAAATAGATGCAGCAATGATGCTGTTCTGGTATATAACATTACAAATGGGAACTAATTATAAAAGGAACAAATTGATGTTTTAGTGTTAGTGTCATTGTACCTCATTTGAGCCTTACTGATGGGCTTGTGGGGCTCTAAGACAAAAAAATGTTGGGAAACACTGACCTAGATTTCTCCACATTGTGGTTCTACAGACGGTTTTACCGTGCCATACTTGGAGCCATCAGAGGAAATCTGGCCTGTGGAGCGACATAATTACTCATGCCAGCAGGCTGGAGTTTCACCTGGAGACAGAACATATGTGATGTCTCCAGATGCCAGCATTTAGCAGATACCATATACTGCAAGTTCCCTACAGATTCTACCACTGACCATGAATGGAAGCCAAAATCTGAGTAAGTACATTTTTATGTAGTTTGACAGTGAAATGTAGTTTGTGCTGAAATTTAGAACCAACTGAAACCATGCATAGGTAAAAATCACCTTGAAACAAGTATTGTTAAGAAAACTTTTTAGGCGATTTGGCTGTTCATTAACACCACAACAGCATCTTGGGGGCTTAAAAACACAAACTTTTGAAAACAGATCTCAATATGCAAGTTTTTGAAAATGATACCACTATTGCCTCTGTGTAAACTACATAAACGTGAATTTGTGAAAAAGGTGACATCATGTGTATGCAGAGGTGTAGTGCAGGGTATACACAGGTATATGGCGTATACCCACTTCTATATCAGTGGGTATACCCACTTCTAAATCCCCTGATGCACTTCATTCATTAGTGTCCTGAATTTGCCAAATCATGACAGTCCAGCACATGAGTAGCTAATCCAATCACATGTGAATAAATGCAAATATTCCCTAAAAACACTCAGTAAAGACAGTGGTCAGGACCAAGGCGTAAACACTCTCATGCAGTGCATGTTTCATTCATACTCGTGATATTACATTTTTTTTATTAGAAGTAATAACTTATGACGTGCAGGAAATCCCTAATATGGATATAGGCATCCAGCTATCGCTGTAGCCAAAACAATATCTGCTGTAGCTAAGCTGAATAAAAAGAAACTTTTTGACCAATGAAACATGAAGACAACAAACACACGATTGCAACAATATATGGTTTATGTGTTTTTCAAGTCATCTCTATGTACACGGGTGGCAATGCTTTTTCTTAGGGTGGCAGTTGCCACCCTGTGCCACCCCGGTCCGCCCCTGGGTACAAGTATACAGCCCTGCTTTTCAGTCTTCCCAGGAAAGGAACATTTCAAACATAACATACAAAGAAAACAGGCTAATAACGTCAGCGTCCAGCCTTGTACTCTGAAACATTGTGATTATAAAGATACCACACTGGCATTTAAAGGCTTAGCAGATGTTGATTGAGAAAATCTCAGGCGACTTTCTTTTTTCAGTTTTGTTCTCCTAGCTATTAATAGAGTTTCAGTATCTGTTCTGTGTTTAAACCACACACACACTGAGACCTCTTCCATCTATTTTTACGCCGGTATCAATAGAGAAGCCAACCTGTGCTTTTAAACTTCAGTGGCACTGCAGCGAGAGGGTTTCAAAGAGCCTTCCACATGGAGTGATGGGTTGTGGTATCCTGCACGGGTAAATCACAACACTGTTTTGCAGTCTAATGCAGAAAGAATGACGTTAAACATTCACAATCTCTATGGCGTCAGTAGTTCTGTAGGTGTTATGTAGTAAGTATTCAGGGGTTCAATAAACTGGAACAAATTGCTCTCTAACTGCTTTCCTGGAAGGTCCTGCGATGCATACCGAATTGTTGACTTTAAACCGAATCTGCACCTTTACTTCTGGGAAAAACAATAAAGCCACACACTGGTGCAAGCAAGCAACTGCCAATCACAACACACACTGGCCCAGCTAACCAATCACAGCACATTTCGTATTTCAGAAGGCGTGATACAGGAACTATTCGAGCCGTTCATGCCAGACTTGGGGGAGAGGTGTTGTAATAATGTAAAATATGTGAAAAATAATGTGTTAACAACCTAGTATGAGAGCCTGTTCTAGTACACCCCCAAAACAAAATCAAGACTTTGTAAAAGAGCATAATAGGACCCCTTTAAATGTGATGGGAAATTGATTCCCTCAGCAAGTCAGCAAAAGTAAACAAAACAAAACTGAAAGTTGTTGAAGAAGTGAAAGCAATCTTCTACAGGTGCAGTTCTATGCCACAAGATGGGCCGAACAAGTTTAGCCATTGCATAATTTGAAATAAAGCTATTTAGAACTCGCCATCTTCAAGTCAAAGAGGGAAACACAGAGTACAAACATTTGTAACTCAAGCTGATGTATGGCAAAGGCAGATCTAAAGATAGTCATGTCATAGTGCCACATATTTCCATAATCCTCTCAATCTCCTATTTCTATGAAATCTGCAACTTAAGTTATTGGACATGAGGCATTAGTTTTTGCTCTTTCAAACCCCTCTTCTGCGGCCTGCACCATGATGGTAGATGAACAAATTCAGAGTTACAGAATTAGTTTTGAGTTGACAAAACCAAACCACTCCAATCCGGC